TATGTTACGGTCAAAAGCCGAAATCGGGAAAACCTCAGAAATGCCCGGGCAAAACGCGAATTGCCCACAATCCTTGGGCAAAATGTCATATTTCGGCTTTTGATCGGGCAAACCTAGTTATGACCAACATCATTTGGGCAAAACCGCCAAAACCGTATACTGACTTTCATCGTAAGGACAAAACCGTAGAGTTTTAAATACGTTCGCTAATATTATAAACAAATTTAATAATTATAAAATAAGTATTATTGTACAAATATAATTAAATAAACTTAATTAATATATTTAAACCTCACTTGAGTCAAACTGTAGCGTTTTAAATTTTGTGTAGTTCTAATATGTGTAGCAACAAATAAACAAAAATATTATTTTTTTATTATTATATTCAATTATATCTGTACAATATTTTGTATTAATTATTTATTTTAACATTATAGAGAACCTAATATTATTATATGTTTATTTTTATACGAGTACTTAATATCATTATATTTGTATTATTATTTAAGTGTATTTAAATATATCTGTACAATATTTTATGATTATTATTTTTTTGTATTTAATATTAGTGGTTATTTAAAACGCTACAGTTTGACTCAAGTGAGGTTTAAATATATTAATTAAGTTTATTTAATTATATTTGTACAATAATACTTATTTTATAATTATTAAATTTGTTTATAATATTAGCGAACGTATTTAAAACTCTACGGTTTTGTCCTTACGATGAAAGTCAGTATACGGTTTTGGCGGTTTTGCCCAAATGATGTTGGTCATAACTAGGTTTGCCCGATCAAAAGCCGAAATATGACATTTTGCCCAAGGATTGTGGGCAATTCGCGTTTTGCCCGGGCATTTCTGAGGTTTGCCCGATTTCGGCTTTTGCCCGTAACATATATATATTTTAATTGCTATTTTATAATAAGCCATGATTTTAGTAGTAAAAACGTATTAATACATTCTAAATATTACCCAATTCTGGTTTTATTCATTAAATTAATTTATAATTATTCATGAAATGAATATGATTAAATTTATAAGTTTTATAATGTATGTAATTGAAGATATTTTTTATTAGTTGTAAAATGATTTGATCTTAAACTTCTATGGGGATTTCCGGTAGAAAATTATATCTAATTTTTACTTTAAAGGTAATAAATATAAATTTCTATGTTTCATACATAATAATCAGAAAAAAAATTTCTAAAAAACAAGAATATTTATGCAAATCATTTTTTAATAAATTAAATTTTTTGTTTATGTTATAATTCAAATACAAATATCTGTAAGGACTTGAAACTTTCACCTAATATAAAATATATTAACATTTTCTAGGAATCAATTGTTTTTAAATATTTTGGATTATGTTCATTTTATTTTCTATTTAAAAATATTTACGTATTTTAGTCTATACTCAACTTACACATGATACAAATTTTATTTATTGTGATATATTTTTTTTTAGCAACAAAAACTTGAAAAATGGATATAAGATATCAAAGTAATACATATTTTTTTGTTCATAGTAATTGAAAAATATTGAAAATAATTATCAACATTTTTTTTATAAGCGTCTAACTTCCAAATTTTAACTAATTCAATTTTCTGTTTTCGTTGTAGATTATTTTACAGGAAATAATAATAATAATTGAATTATTTTAAATTTTAAACTAAAATATCTTAGTATGCAATATAGGTGCCTACATTTTATATATATTATATAATATGTTTGAAGCTTTAAAATTTTAACTTTGATCTCAGTATAATTTAAAATAAATTTAACTGATGATTTAAATTTAACGTTTAAAAATCTTCATAGTATTTAAAAAACAAAATATATCATTACATTTTAAAATTTAAATAAGTTAATTCATTTTTACCTCCCTATAAAATAAAAAATTAAGTACAAATCACTATTTAACAAGGATGTGGACAATTTATACACTTAACTTATATAATTTAATGGATTTAAATAAATTGTATAATCATTAAAATAAAATCGTATATTTACTATATAAATCGGAACTGATTGCAAAAACGCTTTGATTTTAGGATTTATTGAATAGTGTCCAATTAATTTGTAACCTTCGCCATTCAGTAACTTTTCTTCCAAACTCTGCACATTCCCATCCTTAATCAATTTTTTAATTTGGTATTGGTTCATAGGTAACGCTAAAATAATAGTTTTTAAAAATAAATTTTAAATTCAATATATTATTTTTTACTTACTCCTAGGAAGGTTATAATTAACATAGCACATATTTGGCCCTAAGCCAAATACTTCATTTTTTTGAAAATTTTTTCTACATTTCTGTACATGAGATTTCATTTAAATTTTCAATTAAATTCATTAATTTTTATCTATTATAAAAAAAAACAACTAAATATGATGATAGGTGACTGCCTATATATTTGACACTATAAATTAAAATATCTTGTCCAAGGTAGCAAAACGCCGATGACCCCGCTGTCCAATAGTCGTTGCTAACAACATTCAATATTGATAGGGTTAATGGTCATCGGGATTAGTTATGATCATATAAAGAAGGGGAAGTATCAATTTTTTTTAGTTACTTAAATATTACATGATCAAAATTAAAGGGTGCCATTTAATTTTTTATAAAAACAGACTATACCTATACAATTTTAGTAGTAATAAAGTACCTATACTTAAAGACTAATACATAGTCCAAATAATAATAAACTGTCCAAATTTAATTTAATTTCATATCTTAATCTCGTTAAGTTAAAACACTTGACAAGTAAGTAAGTACAACTACACAAGATCCCTCTTGATAAGTTATTTTTATCACAATTTAATATTTTGAAAATAGATGTCACGTTATAAAATGATTTACACATAGGTACCTATGTATAAAATTTCTCATACATAGAAAGTTATTCTATAATCAAGTAAAAAAATATCAATTAATTATAGTTATTTTATTATAATTTGAAAAATTGTGATCATAAAACTGGAAATACTCCACTATTTTTATCATATTTTTTATTATCTAAACACAATGAAATTTTTAAATTATTTAAACTAATTTTATGTTTATCATTATCGCTTGTAATTTTCTAATTTTTACATTTTTATATATCAGATAAATTTTTGTAATAGTCAAAAAGTTTAAAGTGTAATAAGTATAAAGTTCCTCGCATTGTGGAACACAAATATTGGATTATTTAACTTTACTTTCTTAAAATCTTTTAGAAATTACCTATATTAATCAATATTTTGTATTTAATGTAGGTATTTTACTATTTTCTTTATAGGTATTTATTATTGTATTATTTGCATTATTAAAAACATTTATATCACTATCAATATTTGTACCACAATTTTAAATAAATAAATATATCCTGATAAAAAAAAAAAATAATACATAATATGAAAAACCTTAATTTAAAAATATTGAAAATGCATAGAAAAAAAATTTTTTTATTAATTTAATTTCAATTTTTGAATAAAATAATAAAAATGCCATCATATTATTTTCTATTTTACCTATTCACTACTATAGATCTAACAATTTAAAACAAGGATGCTCTTAATTCATAGATCATAATTTATTTTTGCAGCAATTTATTTATGTAAAAAATAAATAGGATCCCTATCTTTTTTAATGTTTTATATAGTTACTTGAAGTTTAAAGTTCTTTAAAATTTAGTATTTTAACACTTTATCTAACACTTTTTTATTTGTATTGAGATACATGATCGGTGGTAGACTAAAAAAATAATTTGACTCAATAAATTTATTTTACCGACCCTCAAATTTATTTCATCCTGAATATATAAAAATTAAATAAATTGGAGTAGATACAAACACATGCTTATTTTGAAGTTCTATAGAATAAATTGTCTTCAAATTCGTAATTTCTAAACAAAATAATTTTTATTTTTCACTCAATTAAAACATAAACTAATATCTACATACAAATTATAATAATATAAAATTTTAAAAATTGTACTTAGTTTTATAATTTTTTTATCCAATGAATCACTTATATTTAATAATAAAAGTACAAGTATAATAACTTCTATACCCAGGAGCATACCTAGGGGTGAGGGCTTAGGTTTTTTATCCCCCTCCCTGAAATTTTAATGAATGTAGTAAAAAAGTATTGCTTAATATTTCAATACATTTGAAACTAACATGAAATGCGTGTTAGTAAAAATATTGAATCCCTTCCGAAAAACATTTTTAGGCACGTCCCTGGCTATACCAGTTATATGTTCTTATATTACTAATGCTTTGATAATGCAATTTATAGCAAAAAAGCTCTTAGAGTTTTTTCCATAACTGTAACAATTATTGAGATGTAAATTACACTAAGAGTGGCTTTTAAATCACAATAATACGCGTAACTGCTATAATAGCAGTAGTCATGTTTGTCTACGTGTTAACAATATCAATAATAATATGTTTTTAAGTTTCAACGTCAAAATTATTCAATATATTTTTCTTTAGAACTATAAACAGGAATGCCTTTAATTATTATTTGCATAAACGACCCTACTAGGCAAAGTCACAATTCCTACCGGCATTGTCCGCCACTGGATGTGTGAATTCTCCGACTGAATAAAATACATAACTAAAATAAGTATGTGTACTAAAACATTATATGCGTATTTTAGGTAATATAGTTGCACAATTAAAAAATGAACTTATTTATTACCTTAACCGCGACAAAAAGAAAAGGGAAAAACAGACCTATCGAGTGTTAACATTTGAATACAAGTTATATTACTTTCTGACTTCTGTTAATATACCTACCACGGTTAATAATAAATTATTAATTAATAATATGGTCATTGATCACGATTCACGACGAAATAAATCTACTTAGTACTTATTCTATTTTTTCAGTGATGGTCAAAACAATTTATTAACAGCTTTCGTTTTCACTGATCTTCCAACTTCTTGGATCCGTCATGTTGGCAACACCAGTCGGCTAATTCGCGATATTACGTGATTCGGCGAATCGTGACAGATAACGTAGCAACTCTAGCTGTAGCACGAAGCTCCTCGGCCTCGTTCTTCGCAGTAAATACTTTCAATAATAATAATATTCTCGCTTTTGTTGGATAACATTTTTTGCTTAGTTTTTTACCTTATTAGTATCTCGTTTTCCCTCTCTCGTCACCCCGGGGATTAGTCATTGGACGTCGACTAGCTACTCATCGTTCTCCAGTCTATGATCGTCGATCATCCTATGTGAAGCCGGTCGGTTCTGCATCATTGATATTATATTATTATTGTAGTCATTGTCTAGGTGAGTCATCAATTCGAATATTTTTTATTTTTTAATAATATAATATGAGTTGAGGGTACATTATATTATTTCGCCCGAATTCGAACCTATCCATCTGTTTATTTTGACTCAGTGTAATAGTCTTCCACTGATTTATGTGCTTTGTTATAGAGTTATTCAATATGAAGTATGAGCCCACCAATAAGTTGTACTGAATTAATTAGATTTTACTTCTAAACTGCTATTGTTACCACAGCTCCTAATTTTAAAATGATTTTATGTAGTTTAGAGAATTTTGCTGTGTACCAGTATTTCAAAAGTACAATTAATTCAAAAAAATCAAAATCTTATAATTTTGTCTGATTAATTATTAGAGTATAAACATTATGACTAATAAAATAACAATTTAGGGAAATTAAATTTCATCATAAAACATAGATAATTATAAAACAATATTAGGTATATGTATCATAATTTATTTATTCATGTTTTATTGTCTACTGGCTTACAAATATGACCTACCTTTTTTTTTTTTATTGAAACAATTCAATTTACAATCTAAATACAATTTTTACATTAAGCAAATTTGATATTTACAATAGATTAAAATAACATAAGTGTTGTGTTGAGGAAGAAACCCATTGGTAACACCTCTTACTAATTTAATAAGTCTACACCATTTGCGTTTTAATTTGCGTCGTGAGTTTTTTTTTATGAGGGTGAACGTATGAGATATTAATGTATTATTATGTAAGCTTAGATTTTGGTGGAAATGTTAGTAAAGTATTTTAGCTAATTCAGTGATAGTATTTATTTTTAGGTCGTTGTGTGGAGAATGGTTTGAAACGTACCCTGGGGTGTGGGTTAGTAGCCTCAGTACAATTGATTGAAACATTTGAATGGTCTGATGTTTAAAAGTTTAGCAGGACCTCACATAACGATTCCATAAGACCAGACTGGTCTTATGATTGGCTTTTCATGACCTACCTAACTAAATTTATTTGAAAATGATGACGTATGTTTTTTATTACGATTTAATGTATTTTAAAATAACAAACATACAAAATAATTAATCTCAATTATTAAACAATAACTAATTTTAGTGTCAATATTTAAACTTAATTTTATTGAGGTCATCATAATAGTCAATACCTATCATCATTATTTGTACATTTGTGCTTAATAAATTTATAATATCAAATTTTTACAGAACAAACTTACTAACAAAAAAATATGAACCATATTACTTAATTTTAATATGTACTGATATTAAATAGGTACTTAATAAATAAAAATGTATTTGTTTCTGTTAATGTATATTTTAAAACACAGAATAGTAAAATTTATTTTACTCTTCAATTTTTTTCCTCGAAAAATTAAAAATACTTAAAATAAAATATGCATTACTAAAAATGAATCATTGTAACATTGTTTTAATTAACAACCAAAATTATTAAAAATGTCTAGAAAGTAAATTTTGATATACCTATAATCAATGTATCTTTTGAGTTAAATAAAATTATATTAAACAAGTACAAAATTAGATAATAGATGAAGTTTTCAAATTTATATGAGCAATATTATTCATCAACACTAAGGATAACTTGCCAAAAAGTTTTGTATGGCCTACTATATGTTTAATTTTAGATGTTTTTTTAGAAAATAGTAATCTGAAATTATAGGTATCTTTTATAGGACACTTGGCTTGAATTATTTGCCTCATTACAGAATAGTGAAATGTTATACCTAATATTAAATATAGTGACGTATTTATCACATTTGAATAATTATTGTTCAAAGTGTATCTTGATTGAAACTTGATTTCCTCAACACAGTTTTTCCATATTTTTTTTAACTAGATTTAAATAAATACCTATTTTTTTATAATAACCTCCTTTTTAAATTTTTCTTTTTATATTACCTATCTTCATATCTTAATTCTAATTTGTCTATATAGTACATATTACATAAACTAAAGCATAAAAAAACTATAATATTCTGTTTATAAAAGGTTCATGCAATACAAATAAACTAGGGTATATCTTTAACCCAAATTCTTAAATAAATTTTATAAAATGGTACTAAATTGGAAATTTCTAAGTTTTTAATTAATTAAGCAAATTATATTTATAATAAAATTTTATTTTTTAAACACCCAATTAAATCTAGGTCATAAGACAAACATTTGAATAACACATTCTACTATTTTTAGATGTCTCTTATTTTTTAACGCCCACACACGTTTTATAATAGTACTGCACTTAAATACTTAACATATTAGTATGTGTACATTTTATCTGTACCACTATGTTTATTTTTTAGCATTTGATCTTTCATTATGAGTGTACAAGGATTTGAAGACCTAATTAATGGTCCTTTGACCACTTTTGTTCAATTATCCAATCAAATTGGTGGCGATGTAGCTACTCAGGCTACACTTGTTCTTAGTGCTTTTCAGTAAGTTATTTCAATATTATTTTTAAAAAAAAACTGTACTGATTTATAATAATTATAATAAACATTTAATTGCTTAGAGCTGAGTTTCAATTCATCAAATATGCTAGTGAACATAGTGCACCAAGTGAAAGTGAAAAGCAAAAGCTATTACTTCCTACCAGTACAAAAATCCAAGAGATCCAAACACTAAGAGAGAAAAATCGCGGGTCTCCGTTTTTCAATCATCTCAGTGCCATCAGTGAAAGTATACCTGCATTAGGTTGGGTTGCTGTGGTAAGTAATACAATATGTATTCCAAAAAAATTTATCTGGTTACAAAAAAAAAAAATATATAGTTATTTATTGATAAATTTAAGTAATTTTAAATTAGAATAAATCTTAAAGGTTAGTAATTAACATTTTTTGTTACCATGTTAGCAAATGTATTCCCATTTCTTGTACAGTACATATTTAAGTGATCTTAATTATAATATTTTTGTTTATGCAAGCTTTGGCTTTTGTTTTTCAGACTTTGTAGCATACAATATTTTTCTTTGAGTGTAAATAAAATATTCTGTTTATCTTCTTCTAAAAAATCTTGAAGAACTGAAATGTTGCATTGCAGATTAATTACCATCAATTTAATTAAGAATGGTTTCAACAAGCTTATGAAAAATTTGAAATTTAGATGTGTACCATGCCATGCAAGTATTAAGGGTCACATTAAACATTAAAACAGAAACTTATTGCAATTACTAATCTTTAAAACTTATTCAAATTTTACAATAAATACAATTTTTTAAATTGGATGAATTATTTTGGAACCACTTGTATTGCATAATATTTTTTAATTCTAAGCATTTTTGTTTTTATTTTTTAGGCTCCTACTCCTGCTCCTTACGTTAAAGAAAGCAATGATACTGGTCAATTTTATACAAACCGTGTACTTAAAGAATGGAAAGAAAAGTATTTATCACTAATTGTTTAGTCCATTATTGGTTTTTAATATCTGAAATTTTTTACTTAGAGACAAAACTCATGTTGAGTGGGCTAGAAGTTGGGTCCAACTTTTAGTTGATCTTCAAGCTTATGTCAAACAACACCATACTACTGGATTAGTTTGGGCAAAAGCTGGAGCAAAGCCATCTGGAGGTCCCCCACCTCCACCACCACCATGTGGATTGCCACCAATGGATGATTTATGTTTAGCTCCTGCTGATCCAGATGCTACTAACCGTTCGGCCTTATTTGCAGAAATCAATCGTGGTGCTGATATCACTAAAGGTAAATATCACTGTTATTAAGCTTTGTTTATTTATCAATAATACATTTGTTTTTAAGGCTTGAAAAAAGTATCATCTGATATGCAAACTCATAAAAATCCCAGCATGAGAATTAGTGGACCAGCCCCTGCTGTAATTGGCAATTCATCAGGTGTGTCAGCACCTAAACCAGCTGTTGAAAAACCTCCAGTGTTTGCTCGTGATGGTAAAAAGTGGCTCATCGAAAACCAAAAGAACAATACTAATCTTGTGGTTGATGGTGCTGAAATGAATAACGTAGTATACATATTTAAATGTGTAAATTCCACGATTACAGTAAAGAACAAAATCAATTCAATTGTCATGGATTCTTGTAAAAAATCCTCTGTGGTATTTGAATCATTAGTCTCATCTGTTGAATTTATTAATTGTCAGTCAGTTCAAATGCAAGTATTAGGTAAAGTGCCAACCATTACTATCGATAAAACAGATGGCTGCCAAATGTATTTAAGCAAGGATTCTTTGAGTACTGAAATTGTTACATCCAAATCATCCGAATTGAATGTAATGGTTCCCAAACCAGATGGAGATTATTCTGAATATCCAATACCTGAACAATTTAAGACAAAAATTGGACCAAAAGGTCTTGATACTGTTATTATTGAAGCTTCTGGGTAATTTTAAACTTTTACTCACTTGTTGAGTTCAACTTATAATCTTAAATTTATTCAGCATTTATTTATATAGAATTAGAAGTGAAAAGTAATAATAATATTTATTTTAGTATTAATGTTCAAAATTTTAAAGTAATATCATTATTCAATGTTCTATTTATACAAATAACATTGAGTAAAATTAGATTTTTTCTATTGCTAATAACTATTAAATTTATGAAATAATGAGTGAATAATGAATGTATGATCCTAAATTGCCCTAGAAATATTTAATTCGTACATTTTAAAGTTTAAACCATATAATTTATATTCTGTTCATCAATATAATGCTCATGTTTTTTACATTACTCTTAGCCTGTTTTTACAAAATATTAATGAATTTATAAAAAAAATAAATAAAATTAACTTTATAAATTCTTATAATTAATATATTATTCGATATAAATTGATTGTGATAATTTTATGTAAAAGAAAAACTAATAATTATTATATTAAGTATAATTTTGTTTTATTAAATTTAAATTATTATACTGATGATCATTGAAATTAAATGGTAATACACTACTACCTACTACTTTATTTATATATATATTTATTAATCAATATAGTTTATACAATAATATTTGTAATTTTTATTATTTACCACATTTATACCTAACTTATAAACTGGTTTTATGTGTATTTTTTGTACTACTCTTAACTACTAACTTAAATTAAAAATGGGAATCACAATTTTAAAAACTTTTTTACCAAATTAACTAAATTTATGTAAATATACAAACACACTTTAGAGAATTGAATATTGTGATTTTCATTAAGACATTTTTATATGTATTCTATCTTTACACAGGAAAATAAATAAATATTTAAAAAATTATTGTTTTATTTTTTCATCTATCGTTATACTTAATATTAGTAATGACATAATTTGATCCCGTGGTGTTGAATTGTTAGTTTTGCAAGTCTCGTGAAATTTTGAAGTAGATATTTTATCAAAGAGTTTATATTTAAATAAAGAAAATAACTATTAAATTTGTATTTCACTTTTTATGTATAACTAGAACTTTAAATTTATATTTTGGTAAACAATACAAATAATTTCTAGATTTTAGTATATTAAATTATAAATAAAAATTTTAATTTATTTTTTATTTTTATCAGCTTACATGGTCAAAAACACTAAATAGTATATTACACCATTATCTTATTCCCAAATAAGTGAGTGAGACTTAATTCTTGTATCAATTAAGAACTATTATGAACTACTACCCTATTATTTTATGTTACATTTATATTTTTGATATTTAAAAATTAACAAGTATTTCTTTACTCTCAATTTTAAATTTGTAATATTTTAAATACATTTTTTTTTTTTTTTTGACACCCTTGTTAAAGAGCTTTATTATTTTAAGCCACAAACCTACCAGCCAATTAGCCACTTTGTGTGAAATATAATTTCTTATAAAATATAATTATTGATACCTCACTAACAGTGGCATAATTTTCAGAGGATCCAAAATATCCCTTAATGGCCTATAAATATTCAAATAATTTTTAAATATTCTAAACAAAATATAAACTTCAATTAAAAATATACTTCAGTATATCCAATCTCTAATTAAATTAATTTAATTTTTGCAGTTTAGATACAAATATTTTTATAAATAAAATACTAATATATTGGACTATTTTTCTAAGTTAGGGAAGAGGAAATCATGTCCAACACATAAAGTAGCCCCAAAAATACACTAATACTCACATATAATAAATTACTTTAAAGATGAGATACCAATCTATAACTCAAGTATAAAAAAAGAAAACATGTTTATTCTTTACATTTAATAGTAATTATCATTGAGTTAACATGATTTAATGAAAAAAAACTCAGTTTTAAGGTATATTGCTATTTAATACTTAACTCAACAAATGAATGTGTACATTGTTGTCACAACTTGAAAAATTAAAAATAGTTAATTAAATTATGTATTGTCAAGTATTATTGAAAAGATATCTTGAAAAAATTGTTTTGGTCCACTACTTTTCTTAAACTCTGAATACTTATAGTTAATATACTACTTGTTCAAGATTTCCATTTTATAGATCGTAATATTCCAAATAATATTATATTGTTTCGTAATATAAAATTAAAAATGTAAGTTGTCATTCAAAAAAGTAAAAACCTTAAAATTAAGAGTAAGAAATATAGATTTTTTTTCAAAAACTTTATCAGTAACAACTTAAAATTAAGTAAAAAATATGATTTCATCACTGTTAATGTTTTCCTGAAATAATGAATGCCCTTCGTTAAATAGATTGTCTCAAACAAATTCAGAGTTTGGGTAGAAATTGAGAAATAATAATGTTCTTGAAATATTTTAGAAACATTCTCAAATACTATCCAGATACAGAATGGAATTACTAAAGAAATTTCAAATTAAAATAATATAACACAAATTGAGATGCTAAAAAAACACGTGTAATTATTCTACAATTAATTCAAACATTAACAAAGTATAAGCTCTTTCGATCTCTCAAAAAAAAAAAAAAAAACAACATTTAACTACCTAAAATACCCAAAAAGTTTATATCTATAACATTAAAATAATCACAAAATTACACAAGTAAAAAAATAAACTTTCCAAAAAATTTACAAAAATTAACTTTTGTATTTCCTAAATATCTACATAAATTTTTAAGCTAAACAAACTTAAATTAAGTGTTAACAATATTATTTTTTAACAAAAAAAAAAATAGGTGAACACAAAAAAATACAATTAAAACGAAAAAAAAAGGAATGCCATACACTCTGGTATTAATATAAATAAGATAATAAACAAAAAATTGCATTAAGTACTCGTATAAATTATTATTGTCAAGACTAGAAATTGTTTGATTCTTTATTTTTCTGTATAATAAATATATAAATGTACATTTTCTATATATTATATGATCCTTGTGATAAGTTAAATAAAATATACTCAAAAATCACAAAATAAAATTAATGATTTCTTTCCAGATTTAGTTTAAGTAATTTTAACTGTGATAACTATTTAATAACCTAAACATATCTTTAATGCTCAAAAGTAATAAATACATTGGCGTCTAAATGTTATATGTATAGATATATTCATATTGAAATTGTTAGATAATTTGTTCAATCTTTAATCTCAAAATTAATTCACTTTGAGTCACACTTAAAAGCTTGTGTATAAATAAAGTGTGCATTTAAGCGTGTTGTTGAGATTATTCTGAAATTAACTTTGTCAATTGATAACAGTTGGTCAATTTAAATTAAACTTCACATCATGACAATTCTCCAATTGGAGTGTTTCGCATCCAAAGTTCATGCATAAATTCATACAAATCATCTGACACGGACACCTATTTTTTTTAATGATAAATAAATAATTATTATAAATTTAAATATTTTAAGTATAATTTTAGAAAAATACTTTATAAGGAGTAGGATTGAGATTTCTTTTGATGTCAGGGCGTAATGTTCTTAAAGATTCTTTGACATGTTCTCGGACCTCACTTAAATCTGGTAATCGTTGCATTATACGTCCATTTTCCCAATAAACCTACATGAATACAATAAAATATAAATAAACACTAACTAATATATTATAAGACTGAATTTAAAATTTACTTTGTATAATGGTTTTATAGTAGATGGTACCACAAACGCTCTCTTCTTTTGATCAAACGGATGTCTGCAAAGAAGTTTTGTTTGGGCTATTGGTGGATCTTCAACAGACTTTTTCAACAAGTCTATCAAAGCAAATCCTAGGAATAATTAAAATAAATAGTACTAAATCATACAAATGTAAAATTCTGAGTTTACATACCATCAGCACCATATAGCCGAAAAGCATCTTTTTTACCAGGCATTGTAATTTTGCTACCGTCTTGACTTAATTTAATTCGTGGTGTGCCATTTACTTCAACTAATTTATACACACAACCCAGAGCTGGTTGCCTTTGACATGTAACTATTTTCAAAATATTCAGTCCACAATTATTTGAAATGATATAATTATTTAAAGTATAATTCTAATTTACCAAGATGAGTTCCAATTCCAAAACAGTCAATACTATGTTTTTGATCATTTAAACTCCAAATAGTTTCTTCGTTGATGTCATTTGAAGCAATTATTGTTAAATTAGCAAACCAAGGTATATTATACCTATACAGCATTAACAGAATTTATTTTGACATTTTTCTTTCTTTCTTTAAAAAAATAAATAATTTACTTACTCATTAGCAACTTTCACAAAAATTTCACGAGATTTATTTGACAGATATGCTAAGTCACCACTATCAATTCTAACACCAATAGCTTTGTAACCAAGATCATTTAATGCCAAGGCTACAGCACAGAAGTTCAAAATTCCACTTCTAAAATTAAAAAAATAATTTAAAATACAATAATATTATATGAATTAATATCTAATTCTAAAAACTATAACTATACATTAAAATAGTTATTATATTCAACCAGTGCAAACCACTGAACCTAATCAAGCATGCGTTTATGACCAAAAATGATTTGTGGATTTTTACATGCTGTAAATGTAAAAATTGTAATGGATATATGTGAAGTATGGATATGGAATATAATTTTAATATTATTATTGTATTTAGAGTTAACAAACACATAAAAAGCAATCAGCGCTTCTCCCAAGGTCAAACACATGCGAATAATGGATAATGGGAATTCTTACCCAAAACTTGAAATGACAGGTAGTTCTTTTGGTCCTAAGAAATGCCACCTGTAATATTTAGAACAGAAAAAAACACTAACTAATTTTTGTAGGTTTGATATTTTAAGATTGCTATATGTCTTGGCCACTTTAAAGGAAAAGGAAAAGTTGAAATTTACTGAAATGCTCAATGATAAACTTTTTCTTGTGTATGTAATCTAAACTTATCTAACATTATACTTCCCAAATAACTAAGAATTAAACACTATTTATTTTATTTTATCAGTTATTATTTTTTATAATTATTTAAAAATCTAACTTTTGGAATATTTAAGTGTTTTAATCGTATTACTTTAAAATTTCACTTGACAAAAATAGACATGCCATAAATTCGAATATGTAAACAAAAGCACAAATAAAAATATTAGCTGAAGTTAAAATTATTACAATATATATATATATATATTTGTGTTAATTATAAATTGTAAAAAAATACAAATATACAATAATTGTATACCCTTAAGTATCCTAAAACTTACATTTAAAGCAAAAAAAAAAAAAAAACCAAAGAAAACTGGCTATGGTATATTAGATGAATCACCTAAATATCATAATTTAGGTGAATCGTCTAATATTTATTGTAAAAATTACAATAACTCACTTGTTTACATCATAAGTATCTATGAGTGCTACAAAACCTTCTGGAAAAGCAATTGCAAATGAAACAAGAGCAGCCAGTTCTCCATCAGATGCTTGGCTTTCAGATATGTGTAAAAGACTTGATAATGTAGTACGCCATGATAAAGTCAAGTCAATCAAATCTTGTTCTTTGCCATTATTTAGATTAATTAAAGTCTATAAAAGAAAAAGGGGGAGACAATATAATAAATTGAGGTATTTCACTGAAAATATATATTTTTAATTTTTTTTTCAATATGTTAAAAAATAAATACAAATCATATTGAAACAGAGGAAATTTTTTCTTTTTTATGGTAAAAACAGGACTTTATTATTTTTTTTAAATAAATCTATAATCTATATAGTTTTATAAAATAAGTAGGTTTGATAAGTGATATAGAATATAATTAACATGAATCATAAGATTAAGAAAGTTACCCAATGCTAACACCCACAATGTAATAATAAAAACAGTGACATTTTAAGATTAGGAAAATGTTACCTGGTATAGTAACACTCAGCACTTATTTACTCAAGTACTTATGAAAAAGGTCCCAACACCATTTCTTTTCAATCTACAGAGCAGATTATTTGGAAGTGTGTTCAATGAAATTTTAGTGATTAATAGATTTGTGTATAATTGAAGTTAATTATAAAATCTAGTGTAGTTTTATAGATTTGTTTATGATTTTGAATTTGAAAATCATTGTAAAGGTTATAGTTAGTAATGTACCAGGGTGTAGAAGAAATTAGGCGGACGCATATTGACTGGAAGGCTTGAATAGATTGGATGTTGGAAGATTTAGCAACTATCCATGATTGAAGAATTTGTAAATTAATAATTTGATTGTAATATTAATTTTAAATTTAAGTAGGGATTTTAGAAGGTAATAAGGGATTTTTTTTTTTTTTATATGAGAACTCCAAGTTAGTTTTTTGTCAAGGATAAGACCAAGATATTTATATTTAACTTCAGAATAAATGGGGATTGAAACGTTGTTCATTGTGACTTAAGGGCATATTCCGTTTTTTAGGACGAATTTTATAAATGGGGAACTGAAACAGAACTTAAAATAGTTTTATTAAGTAACTTTAAAATGCATGTTTAATTTATATGATATTTTGGAGACATAATTTATTGATTTGCATTAAGTATTTTTAACTGTAAGGAAAAATAAGCAATAATTGTCAAAAATATTTAAAAAGTATACAACAGTTAGTTTTTGATCAAACAGAAATATATAAAAAAAAAAAGTCCCTGTATTGAAAAATATAAATATTAAATTATAAAATACTTAATCATCTATATTTATATTTTTTTAACTTATCTTCAAATGTTTTATTATTTATTAGTACTTAAAAACAAATTTTAAAACCATGTTTAAAATAGGTACAAATTTAATAATTTAAGCTTTATTTTAGTACCTTGGTTTTCAGTTCATTAGGATTAGAAAATGATGTTATGTATGCATGAGCATGAGTTCCTTTAACTGGTATATTAAACATTTTTCCAGCAAGTAAATTGCTTGTTCCATCAAATCCTCCTAAAGAATAAAAGTATAAAAAAATTTATTCATCATACATCATAAAATTATACAATACTACACAATTATTTTATTTTATATATATAAAAGAAAAACTAGGAAGTTCATGCTGATATAGATTGCGAGTAAACTATCATTGAGTAGGTTATAGCAATAAATAAGTCAAATATGAATTTAATAATAAAATAAAATTATTAATGAAAAACAATTCTAATTGAAGGAGATGAATGGATTTCTGCTATTTATAAGAATAGTTAATAGTGTTTATTCTGTTAAAAATTTTTTAGTAGGTTAATCAATCTGATTTTTGGCAAAAATATTACATATCACTTCTAAGTAAATATTTTATTATACCCATGGTCTATCTCACGAAAGAAAGGTACTGTTTTGCTGAGCTACAAACTGGTGCCAAGTCAGTTGTGGTGGGTTATTAGGCGCAGAGCAGCATAGGGATGCACAAGAATATACAGTTTTTGTCGAAACATGGCACCTTTCTTTTGTGAAACAAACAATGATTGATGTCAGGCACTATAAAATAATGCTGTATAAAATTAGTTTTTATAAATAATGACATTTTCAAGTTTTTACAATTATTTAGTTATTAATTTAACAAATACTTAAATAAAACAATTATTTTTATATTTATTTATATATAAATCAACAACCATAAGCTCTTTAACAAAGCATTTCATATTTATTGACGCATCAACAATCAGAGTCATAGTGATAATAATACAAATAAAACCAACAGAAAAACAAGGAAAAAATATATATGTATAATAAAAGTATACAAACATACTCTCAAGAAAGCTTGAGAAAAATGAATTATTGCTACACTTTGTTTTACATTTAAGTACATAGAACAAATCAAAATTACATGTATTCTTATTAGGAATTCTAAATCAATTAAATCTAAAATAACTGAGCAGTTGATATTATTATTTAAAATATAAATGTACATAATATCTATTAAATCATTGTGTCTGATGGTAAAAGTATACGCTCACTTCCAAAACAATTTTAAATTAATAGTTATATTATTTTCAATTTTAAAACTATATTTTGCAAGAACAATAGTTGATAAAACTTTGCATTTTTTCAAGAAGCGGATGATAGACATTAATAAGAGGTGTAAGTGAACAACTCATTCATATATTATTAATTAATTTCAAAATCTGAGGGAAGTAAAGTTATATCATATAGATCATAAAAAGAAATTTCCAGTACTTTTCTTAATAATTAGGATATAATAACAAGTCAGTGGAAAAATAGAAATACATGTGCTATACTGGAATTCAAAATAACTAATATTATTTATAATTTTAATTCACAATGAACCATAAAAAATTATGAAATTAGAATTAGTAATACAGAAAACATAAATTAAATAATGTTCATTTTAAAACCAAAAAAAAATTAACACCTTACCATAAGCATTAAAAAATTATGTAAAAACATACAAAAGTTACTTTGATTGAAATAAAAATAATATTTTTTTTATCAGCTTTATATAGTTTATTGAAAGTCATAATTTATTATTGGAATGAAAATCAGGGTAGAAGGCTCTTTGTTATTTTATTTTTAGTATTACACTATTACATAATATGATACAATATAATATTAAACAACTTAAAGAATTTATGTAATAAAATTCAATGAAAAATTATGGACAAATAAAGATTAGGTATTAAGCAATTATCTCACTTTGCTTATCTCAAAGCAAATAGTAAGTAGTATGTTGATAATTATATTAAATTAGGAGGCAATAATTTTTATTTCTATTTAAAAAAAAATATGGATAAAATGCATTAATTTATTTTAAAATAACTCAGAAAATCGAAAAATTATATTCTATAAACACAATTTTTAACACAATTTCAATATTCTAGCATTGTCTTAGTTTATGTTAAAATAAAAATATTAAGGTAATTTTATATTAATTGTCACACAAAGTAATCACCAATAAAAACACTGGCAATAATTCAATATTTATAAAATAATAAAAGCATTAATTCAATTTTAATTTTACTGTTATATAAATAAGTTTTTTTTATTTTTTTTACTATTAACTAATTAATTCAAATTTATATAAAAATTTTAAAACTAATAATTAATTCATTATAATATATTGAAATAATTTAACAGATTTTTGATAAATATTGTTTAATAGTAAAATATTTTAACGTTTATAAAGATACATTTATATGGTATTTATATTTAATATTATTCACATAAATTAAAAAAATGTATTTTATTTTATTTTATTTTTTTATTTTTTGTTATGATATAATTTAAATTTAAAATTATTTGAATTATAACTCAATTAATATTACTACAAAAATTCTCTATAGTAAAAATCTAAAAATTAAATTTGTTTATCCATCCCATTAAGTACTTCAAATAATAAAACTATACAGTAATAACTACAAAAATATTTATTAACTTATAAAGTAATTTATAACCTGTCAGAAAATAAAAATTAAAGTTTATTAAAAATGTATTTTAAGTCATTTACTTAAGGTATTCGTGTTAAAATCACACAAAACAAAATAAGTTTGAGTTCAAGTTAGTGTTGATTACTGGTGAGTAATAAAACACATATCTAGTCATAATTCACTTGGTACCAGTCACTGCCTGACATTGCTTATATTGCAATCAATAACCAAGTTCAACCAGTACCCAGCACACTAGCAAATTGTGATTGTAATAATTGATAATGCATGACTATTTTTTTTGTTATTAAAGTTAAAATTACATACCAATGTATGCATACTTAGAAGCAGACAAACCACCATCAGGACCTTGGGCTCGCCTTAATCCAAATTCTAATAATGATACATTATCACCTGCTGCCATTCTGTATCGAGCTGCATTTGTTGCCATTAAGCTAAACAATATTATAAAAAATTTAAATGTATACATATCTATATTTTATTAACAATCAATACCTAGAGAAGTTGACCAATGTTAATAAAGTAGTTTCTAGAAGTTGGACAACAATTAAAGGTCCTTCGACTCGAATTAAAGGCACTCTGAAAATAAAATACTAAATTAATTCTTTATTCTAAAACATAAAACAAATTTAAACAATTTGTAAGCTAAAATACAGTTATAGCAATAAAAATTTAAAAATGAGTATAATATAAGATTGTAGAGGTACTGCCATTGATTATAGAATTTATAAAATTATAGAATATATAATATTATATTATAATAATTATTATACTATAATATATTAGTATTATTATTAAGTCTATAACCAATGGTACTGCTTAAAGTAATTATATTGATACACACAATATTTTGATTTAATTTATTCAAAGTTTAACTCTATTAAGCAATAGTAATGACATTAACTTTTATGTTGTGATTTAATTTTAAGAAAGTGATTATATTAATCAATGATCATAAATAAGTAGTTCTCAAATCAAATGCATTACTAGGGAATAAAAAATACCCAAAACAAAAAATTACAAGAAAAAGAATTATAACAAAAACTTTAAATGCCTATTAATATTTTTATATCAATGACCCAAATTTATGTTATGCAGTATACAGTAAAGCACAATAATAATTACTTATTATTTATATACATAACTAAAACCTGTTTAATCTAAAAGTGCCAATACATACTTGAATAATAATACAATTTACATTTTCTTTTCAATTACCTTGGAAACACAACTGAACCTTCATCGATAGCATATAATTTTACGTCTTTAGCAGTCAATTCCTTTAGATATCCAAAAAATGATTGTTCAATTGTTGGTGGTAATGTTCTTTTTAAATATTCAATATCTGAAAATACATAATTAGTTTTTACTTTCGTATATGAATAAATATTATAAAACTTAAAGTTAAGAACATTATCTATGTTTGTATATTCACATTAGCAACATTTCAATTTCTCTGAAAAATATGAATATTAATAAATTGCAATTTTTATATACCTAAAACTTGCATAGAAATTAAAATATTGCAAATAAATACCAGCACAATTTTAATTTTAATTTTGATAACAAGGCAATTCACTCTAATAATAACAATTGTTCATAATAATACAATAAATTATATACACTATAAAGTATACATAATATTATAGTTCAGCTATCAGCTACATACAAAATAACCTATTTTAAAATAATGAAAATAATATTTAAATAAATAAATCTTAATTTAAGCTTTTAATTTTTAAAATTTTTAAATAATTTACTATTTTTACTATTTTGATGAAGTTAACTATACCTACCATAAGTTTTCCTAGAAGACCAACCAAACAACTAACAAAAAAGATGTTTATTCATTCATGTTTATTAGTATTTATTATAAATTTAAAATATGAAAAAACATTTAGTAATAAAATCATATCTGGACACCATATTTTTTATTTCAATTTTTTTTTGATTTACTTCTTTAGATACGATTTATATGAATGTATGTGATATGAATATTTTACATTTTTTTTTATAACTAAAAATTAGATAACAATTATAATATATTTAACAAATAAAATATCCAAGAACATGATTACCTATATCTTTCTTATTATACATATAAATATTACTATGAATGTCTACAAATGATGAATGCTGACAGTCACCAATAAAAATGTCCATACACTTAAATCAAAAATCATTAGTCAATGTTTATAATGCCAATTTTGTTTTATTTAAATGTTATCTCAGAATAACAAGAAAATTGCAATAATAATATACAATAATAGTATATAATAGACATATAATCTATACAATATTAGAATATTAAAACTTGATAATTTTGATAAAACATTTCATTACTTTATTTAATAAATTTTATAATATTTTATCTTGATAAAAGTCTTGTTATACTGTCATTTAGTGTGCCATTGTTTATCACTGTTATACATAGTATTTAATTAATTAGCATAAATAACTAACATTTCTTTTTACGTATATCAGAAATAAATCATTTTACAGTATAAAGAAAATTTAATACCAATTACTAATGTATTAAGCCATTAAACAAATGTACTAAGAAATAAAAGTAAATAACATCTGTGAATAAAATAAAGGAAAGTTAAGTACAATTCTAAAACATTTAAATAAAAAAATAATGAATATTTCAACCTAATGAAATAGATCATATTATAATACCTAATGGTAAATAAATATATATAACTTAGTAAATAAGAATTTTTCATTAAATAATTTTTGTAATACACATTTAATTATATTTTGTATTTATTATTGTTGACATCAATGAATATAGAATAATAACTTTTATTTCAATAATTTTGTGCAAGAGATTTAAACAAACTTCAATATTAACAAGATTTTATCAAAAAAAAATTTTTTTTTATAATTAACATATATTTAATTGAGTAACATAATTGAAATTTTTTTATGATGGTAAACTATATAGTATATCACGTTATAAAAAAAAAAAAATGGTTTAAGTAAAATCGTTTATCAAACAGAAGAACTAAAACTAAAATATTATTGATAATTTTAATAATGAATTCAAATACTTAAAATTTAGTCAAAAATATATAAACCATTAATACAAAAGACCCATTTCAATAAATATATTAACCAAAACATTCATCATAAATCATCAACTAACTTAAAACATATTTTAAAAATGTATTTATTTTAAATGAATGAAATATTGATTTTATAACATTTATATATTAAAAACATTATATCTAATACTCTGGGTATCATCTATTAATGTATTTAAAAACAACACATTTGACAAAAACCATGGACCAATAATAAAATAAGTAAAAACAATATTATTTAATTAAAAAAAAATCCATACATTTGTAATATCATGTTGGTAGATTTGGTTTTGATTTATACTAATATCACTAAAATTCAATAAAAGAGCCAACTTTAATAAAGGTTGATGTCAATTTTTATAAACTATTAAAAAAATTATAAAAGTAATTTAGTGTTAATATTATTAATATTATATTTTAATAAATATGTGCTCTATGTATCCACTATTCATAAAATCTTAAAGATAGGCTACCAATATTTAATGGACAACTTTTTCAAAAATTTAAAACTGAAAATAAAATAATTTCTACTCAATTTTAATACAAATTAAGATTTCAATTTCATAGTATATTAAATAAAACCGACATTAAATTCAATTAATAAATCATTAATTTAAAGGTAGGTATACTAAATTTCAACTTCTGTTAAATACTTTTTAATTAATTTATACGTTTTAATAGTTTGTTTTAATGGTTTTAAAAAAAATGTTAATGTATTTTTAAAAAGAATGATAATTCATCAATAAAATAGGTATACTTAAATATATTTACAAAGTAATTTCTAAGCGATCCTATTATCATTACCACAGTAAACTGAAGTGACTAAATTTAAAAATGATGTACCAAACAACTATTTTGAAGACACCAATATCACTCATTATACTTTTTTATGATGAAAATAAAAATAAATAGGTATTTTTAAGTACTTTCACAAATATACAGTTTTAAAATGACTATAAATATAAAATTTTTAAGTGTGTGTTTTTAAATTTATTTTCTAATTTTTAGTTAAATATATACAATTAAAATTAACTAAAAATAAAATGTTTCAAAAAACTTACCACTGTCAGAATAACTGAAATTTTCCAAAAATCTTAAGCATTCCTCCAAACCGCCAAATATGGTAAACTCACCTTGGAATGGATTCTGGCGAAAAAATAAATCAAATACAGCTGTATCTGATGTTTTTTCTGATTTCCAATATGCATAAGCCATAGTAATTTGATATAAATCTAATAAGCAAAAAAAAAAAAAAAAGAATTACTTATATGAATAATAAATTCAGTCAAAGAACATTTAAAACCATACCAGTTATTAAAGCTTTATGTTAAAATATTAGCTAAAAATAAAGAGTTAATTAGTGAAAGTGGACTAGTGATATAGCATAAAATATAGCGACTCTAAATACATATTCTTTAAGGCCAGAACATAATTACAAGGTTTTGCTTTTAAAAATAAAAATAAAACCATTATCAAAAACCAATTTTACATTTATTTTAAATTTAATACTAAAAAATAGTTCTTATAATAATTACTGTATATCAACTAATCTTTAAAATATTTGTACCTAATTAAAGTCATTAAGCAACAAAATTAAAAATTAAAAAAATTAAATAGGTAATACCTAATTTATTTTTGGCCAAAATTTAAAAAAAGATAATTTAGAAATTACCCAAATATTTATCTAAAAAATGACTATAATTTCACCACACATTTTCACTATAATTAATTCACGGGCTTGCAAATTTTCAAGGATAAAAAATAAATAATAATTGAAAAATCACATCATAATTATTATAAAAACCCAATTTTTTCATACCTATTCGAATTGTATTTATTCTTTTTTTTTTATATTATTTCAAATATGTATTGATAAAATATTAAAATTATTATTTCATTGAAACATAAAATAATATTATAATTTAACCTTAGCTCTAATGGATATTTTTTCTTTTTACACTTTTACTCTTTATGATTTTCAAAAATGTTTCCCTTTTTGAAAAGTCAACAAAATTTTGATGACTAATAGTACCAATATTCAGAGGTTACACTGTAGTTTTAATTTTTATATTATGATATTAATCGTAAACATTTTAAATTACTAATAATAAATGTATAATTTTATGAAACAGAAATGAGAACAGATAATAAAACATCCTGTTTGTTTGTTACCTGTGAGTAAAGGCTGCACAACACAGTTGTGGACTTGAAGTCGTGTATGGACATTGTTGCTTTTATCAAAACTCATTGTGCAAATTGAATATTATAGCAAATGTCTCAAGATGAACGGTAAGCTTAAAATAATTTCTTAAGTATCACCTTAAATAATAATTACATAAAAAATTATTCATGTACGTAACTATACATTGTTATGTAAATTGTGTTATGAAATACCTGAGCAGTTGTCCACACTCCATTAACGAAAACACATGTAACGAAAATATAGATCAACAATAACAGACGACCGCACACAAGCGCTCACACAGGACGACTGAAAGGCGAAAACGAATAGTGAATGCTGATAATTCTTAAGTCTAAACCGCGTACATCACTCTAAACAGCCTGAACCACCAAAGTCCGAACGAAACACAATTCCACTCATTCACATTATAGCCTATAGGAGCGCACGTTTTGTCAACACGCAAATTATGTATGTTGTGTTCAATGTTCATTGCCCAGTAACTGCCATTGCCATTTGCTAACACTCGGCACGAATGAACGATTAATTAGAACATTGATATACCTAGAGAAAATTTAGTCATTTACCTACTCATTAAAAAAAAAATTTAAAAACTGATAATTTGTATTATGAATATTATGATATATTTTATCTGAATTCGAACAATTATTATGCGCGGTAACACATTGTGGCGCGCAATACCATGAAGTGAACAATAATATGAGATATTTTTAGTTATTGAGATCACAAAATGAGAATATTATAGATAATTGCTAACAACAACACACAGTCTAGGAGCTCAAGGTTGATAAATGATAAGGATCTTGTAATATGGGACAATAAATATTATTACACAAAATGATAGGAAAAATAAAAATATACCTACCATGGTAATAAAGATATCCATGAATATATTGGTATAAAGTTGTAAGTCATTAAAATATTATGAGAATATGAGATATTCAAATTCCAGTATTTTATACTTTTTATAGTCTACAGTCTACACACAATGGTCAGGTACTAAGATATATTTTAAATTATAAAAACTAAACATCTATCCAGTTGAAACGAGTTCAATTTTATTTCTCGTTGTTTTAAAACAATATGACAGTGAGTAGTCAGTGATAATAATTATTAAATATTATTTATTAGTACGTATTATTATAAATAAACATAATATTATACCTATTTTAAATTGTTTTAAGTCGTAAAATGCTTGCCTAAATTGTCTATATTGAAAGGTACGGTTCTTATTAATCTATACTCATACTAATACCATTGATAATAAACACAAGTATTTATAATCAATACTAATACCTTTATAGCTAAATATGTGTTCTTATACCTATCTATTTCTATAATAATTAAAACATTATTTTAGTATGATATAAAAGGTTAGTAACTAGGTATCTAGATACCATATTAATATATTATGTATGACCTGAAAGATATTTTGGATAGGTAATAAATAATAATCAACAATAATCATAATATAAAGACTTGATATTAAAGAAATTATCAACAAAAATATAGTCATGGTGTTGTGTATTTCATTATCAACGTTTTACAACTGTGTTTATACTTTTTTACGTCTTAAGTAAATAATCGTTTTGTTAGTCTAGAAAAATGTAATAATATTTTAAGTTGGGTATTTTTATGTACAAAAAATTATTTTTTACTAAAAAAAAAAAATATAGCATAAAAAATTTTGTAATGTTTTACTTAAATTTATAAACAATAGTTTTAATTTTATTTTATTAATAATGATTTATAAAAATTATTATTGTATGACTACCTAGTATGTTCACATTAAAATTTGGCGGATATCCATTGAAATGTTTCCAAAGTACCTATGCTAAATAACTAAAAGCAAAACGTACAAATAGTATAATATACATCCGTGAACTACATAAATAATGATCGGTGTACACAATACTTCACTCTGAATTATACAATTTGCAAGCCCCTCCCCCTCCCCCTCTTAAAAAAATTCTTCCAAATATTGGCCTATAAAAAAATATAACTTAATGATCTAAAAATTCAAAATATTTTGAAAAACAGTTCTTGTGAATGGAAGTTTATTATAATTTTAAACATGTTAATAACATTTCATTTGATGGCTGTCATTAAAAGAAGGAATTATAAAGATACCTAATACCTTAAAATTTAAATCATTAGATATATTTTATTTTTTATTATTTCCAAATTCTATTGTTAGGTAGCTTAACCAACAATTAGACTAAAGTCTAATTGTTTATAGTATAATATAATAATATACCTACTACCTATAAATAATTTTGGTTATCAAGAATTTGGCTAGTAGGTATACTATATATATTATTGGCGCATCATTTATGTTGTACTTAGTATGATGTTTTGTATTAGTATAATTAGTATAGTACAATTAGTAGGTATGTATTGCACTTGTTGCAACCTGAAGGCCAATTATACGAATTTAAGAATTTTATTAGTTTATTAAACTCCATAAAGTACAATATTTCATTATGTCAATATTATTATGTAAGAATCTACTATACGTTTATAATTTTAAAAAATTTAATACATTTTTAATTATATATTTACATGTACATTTGAAACAAACATTTGAAGTTAAAATATTAATAAAATTGGTTATTTAAATCAACAATAACGATTTTAATTATTTTTTTATAATTGGGAAATATTATACGTAGCTCGTGGAGAATCAGCATTTTTATATTTTAGATGCGTATATTATTATATTTTCATGGGCGTTCTCGCGGGGAGGAGATATAGGGGATAGATCCCCCAAGGTTCTTTATTTTAGTAACTTTAATTTACCTAACTTAACCTAACCTTACGACTTATTATGTAACAATTTTTTTCATCCCCCTCTATTGAAATATCCTGAGAACGCCTCTGTTAAATACTTTACTATGTAAAATAAAATTTTTAAAATATTTAGTTTAATTTATAATTTCACGAACATATTCATATAATTTTGCTTTAAGTTTGTGCTGACTCAAAAGTTAGTCACAATAATATAATAGATATAATATTAATTTATATTATCATAATAATTAATAACATAAAAAATGTAATGTATCGGCAAAAATTAATTCAATCTCTTTATGTTACTAATATTAAAATTAGAAGCGAATGCAAAAGGAAAAGAGTCACCTTTCCTCTCCGAAATATTAGAAAAAAATAAAAAAGTAAACAATTTGACCAAAAAATCAAGTGAATGGTTTTTTTTTCTTGTCTTTGATGATTGAAAACGATTTTTAGACAATAATGAAATGTTTTTAAGTTTCAACGATTAATATTTCTTGAATAGTAACAAAATAACCAAATCGTTTTAGAAAAACCCGTTATTTATATTTAATATTTTGAATATTCAATTTGTCAATATTTGAATTTAAAAACTCTTATTAAAAAAAATTGTAACTATTAATTTTCAGATATCTCGAATTAATTAAGAAAAATGCATTACATTTTTAATCGTTAAACACAGTTAAACGCGTATCAAAATTAAACATTTTAGGAATTATTAACTACAAGGTATACAAAATAATTTGTAAATATTCGTGTTTTTGGCGAATCTAATATCTATACTCATTAACTAAAAATAATTTTTAATATAAATGAATAGTAGTTTTTTCTGTTTAATCTGTTTATCAATCATCAAAAAAAAAAAAAAATAATAATAGAATAAACTATAACGGAATATACGCATAGTCGTTAAAGTATTTCAATAGTATAATATATTAACAAATCCAATCATAGTTACTATACGTAACCTTGAATGTTCTCTAAAATATATTGATATAATATTGTATATTGGCATGGAAACAATAAACAATTTGTACTTCTCTTAGTTTGCTAGTTAATTCATATATTATGTGATATAAGTAAATATAACAATATAAATCGAAAAATTAGTTTGTCGGAGTGAAGTATTACAGGGGTTTCTTATTCTTTTACAATGTTTGTCTATGACTGATTTTGGCCCACTCATCTATACAACTACACATTTAAACTATAATTAATTAAATACTGATTTGTAATCCGATTTTTTGTATCAAAATCCTTAAAAAAAAATATTTATTTGGGAAAATTAAAATAAGTTTGTATACTATAATTTAAAAAGTTAAAAATTTAAGTAAGCAATAAAAAACAGGAAATTCGTTTTAATAGTTAAATACTTTAATATTTATGTATATTGTATATCATACCATAAACCATAGTTATACTATAATTACTATATAGTAGTAACAAGTGACAATTAAATATCCGAATAAGTTACATGAATAATATACAACTAAAATGAAAAATCTTTTCTTTTTTTTTTTTAATTTTAAATACATATCCAATAAAAATGTTGATATATGTTTATATATAAATATGAAATTAAAAATCTTATAAACAAAATTGTTAATATGCATTTGCGATTTTTTTTTTTATTGTTATTAGAACAATTTATAAGAAATTAAATGGTACTATATAATCAAGTTATTTCTATTCACAAAAATTAATTTAACATACATAAGCCAATATTAATAAAATCAAAACTCATTTTGTCAAAAACTGAAAGTTTTGATATTTTGTTTATTTAATATATAGGTATTGAACATTGTACATATATATTTATAATAATACATTTGTGAGTTTAAATCAATTTTTCAGGCGATTCAAATAGATATTTGAGTCAATACTTAATATTCCCAAAGCCAAGTCCAGGTTAATGGGGGGGGGGGGGGAGCAAGGAGAGCACGGTCCCGGGGCCCATCTTTATCTCCAGACTCCAATATAAATATATGTATGTTTTTAATGCGTTTGATAAAGTTTAAAAAAATTATTTTAATGGGTACAGTTGATAATTAATAATTATAAAATAAAAATGTTTTTAATTTAATATTATGATAAAAATTACTAAATTATAATAAATATCAAATTGTTATTATTTTTAACAGATATAGTGTTAATATATACAATATACATGTATAATATGTGAATAATAAATTATTACACAATTATTAATTTTTATAGCCTTGTATATATTTTTTTGTGCTAATAAAATTATACAATAATATACAGTTTTTAAAATGTAGTGATACAGTTTTTTTGAAATTAAAGTTGAGAGGAGGCCTACTAAGTTTGTGGTGTCCTAAGGCACAATCGATCCTTTATCCGCAGGCTTGCCAAAGCGACTAAAGCTTATGTTACGCGATACATATTACGTTTCACAGTTTCACACCATTACACCTATGTCAACTAACCTATTATTAGGGTTATACACATATATATATATATATATACATAATATGTATTATTACATTATTTTTCATTTAGACCACATCTGTTACTGAAACTGGTCAATAGACTTAATAGATAAAAAAAAAAAAAAAAATGATAACTTGAAAAATAAGAGAAAAGAGTCCTTCTAGAGAAAGAATTACATTGTTATAAGCTACATAATTAGTAAGTATTAACCTAATCTACGTAATGATTTACCTTTTTTTCCACATATTATAAATGTGCTATAGCGTTCCATAATAATATGATGATTAATGGTAAATAGTTTGAAGCGATAGTAACTAGAATAACGAGTAGAGGAACAATTAGGTTAGATATTGATTTAAATTAAATTAACTTTAAAAATTATAGTAAGAACATTGTCTAAATATACTCTAATTATGGTAACTGTATGTTAGCAGAAGAATCGTCAGTTATTATTTTTATTATGGTATCGGCGTGCATTACCTATAACTTTAGGGTAAAAATAT